AGACACCCAGCTGCCAGGCTGAATACTCCTCCCAGGGAGTACTAATTGGTGAGGACACTGGTGAGACTGACCCTCTTTGCATTCTCCAGACAAAAGCAGAGTTTCAAGAAGCACTTTCTCAGCACATGTGACTTCTGTTCACACATATCAGAGCTTTGCTAAAGTAACATTTAAACACTAGTATGTTGAGTGGTGGGTGGAATAATACACCACCCTTTGCAAATACACCTGAGAGAGCAAGTAATTTCCTAAGGTTTCTTCTTCCCTCAATAGCTTTGTGCATATTTCACAAATTGAAGACCCCTCCAGAACAGCCTGGATTCACTCATGTAGCAAGGAAACATGAAAATCATTCAAAGAAAACCTTATTTTTAACAAGATAATTAATCCTGGCCAATGGACTACCACTAAAGTAGCCTAACCCCTGCCAGCCTTATGTGAATGCATACCTAATACCACCACCACCTTGGAACGCAAGTGGAGGGAATATGCAATAGAAAGTGCGTCCAATAGAGTGCTTGGCGCTGTGGGGCCAGTGGACCGTGCTAGCGTGAGACTTAGCACGGCGCACTCCAGCCTGCTTCTGCGCGTGGTTTGCGCGAGCCCGGCCCTGCGTGTGGCTGCGGGAAGGCTGCGTGTGCGCGCAGGGTGGGAGCTTGGGCGGCCCGCCCGTCCTGTTGGACCAAGAGCAGGGTGCGCGCCGGCGCGGGAGGTGAGTGTGAGGCGGGGGCACAGGGGCCGCCCAGAGGCCTGGCAGCTCTCGGTGGCCCTCCGATCCGCTTCTCCGGAGATGCACCCTCCTTAGCGACGCCGAGATCCTGGAGGTGAGACGGTTTGGTGGGCAGGGTGGCGCCAACGACACCTTTGGCCATCGGCTGGAGCGCTGCTGGGTTGCGCCGCGAGCAGCCGCGCCCTGGGGTTCAAGCTTCCCGGATGAGTTAATTGCCTGAACTCGGTGAGCCCAGGAGAATGGGCCCGGCCTGGAGGGGCATTTGGCGCCGCGAAGGAGCGCCTGGGCTTGTGTCGAGTCCAGGCCGCGGTTGCTGGAGCCACGCAGTCTGCCGTGTTCTGCTCCTGGGCGCCGACCCCTCCTTGTCGCGGGGCTGTTCGGGAGGAAACCGCCCTGGATGCATAGGCCCGGGGGTGAGGTGGGGGGTAGGGGAGGTGGAGTAAGGGG